CGTGCCAACGTCCGTGGCTTCATGTATGGAGGGATGCCACTAATGTTGATTCGATGGACACCAAAAGACGGATCGACATGGCCAAGGTCAGTCTTGTCTCGTCCTGTCCCTTGTACGTCTTTGATCACCTGAGCTGCCCGTCTCTTCTGTTGGTCTGTCAGGCCTTTGCCGATCTGTATCTCATGCTCGATGCCGTCCGCATTTGGGTAGCCGCGGACGTCCTCTGTCTCTGGCGTTGTCCCCATAAGGTGGTCAAGTCGCTCTCGATCGAATTCAGCAGGTACAAGGTCAGTTTCTGCCAGCTTGGCTGCCGCGATATGCCGTGTCTCATTCATAGGTGGCTGCGATAAGGAGATCGCATCCTCAAGGCCCGTGAATGCGACGAACCAGCCCAACACATGGTTCCTTGGTAGGATGACTCTCTTTGCCGAAAGATTGTAGAGCTTCACGTATACACGACGGCCTGTCGTCACCTCCATCACATCCTTCTCTACCCGAATGTAAGCTCCTCGGTGGTGTGTGAGCCCTGGATGCTCTAACAAACGCCCAACCTCTCCTATTTGTCCTTCAGGTCCACTCAATCGCGCTCGCACCCATGTCTCCTTGCCCGCTGGTATGGGTGTCTTGGCTGTGACGACGACCTGAGTTTTCGGCTTCCTTCGTTCCTGTCCGGGTGAGCTTGATCTTACAAAACCTATAGCTGTTACACTCACGCCATCTGTGTCGTGTGCGTATGGCTCATGGATGCTCATAGGCGGCCATTCCTGTCTCGAGGTCACACGTACTTTGCCGATTTGATAATCTACAATGACCCTTTCCTCTCGCATCGCCTTTCCTCCAAGTAAGACGATAGTTTTGGGATCGTCGATGACACAAAAGTCAGCGATGATAGGTCTCATAGTCTGTCTCCCCTTATCTGTTGCCACTCCTTCAGGCAAGAGGGCGATTTGAGCGGCGCTATCGATCGCTACATCACCGTAGTGCAGCATGCTCAACTTCACCCCAGTGATTGGCTTCATGACTATCTCTCCGTTGCCCTCCTCATGCAGCTTCCTCAGCATCCGTCGGCTCATCACACTGAGGTCAGCGCCCGTATCAACAAGCACCTCACATAATACCCCATTCACCCTCATCAGCACATATGTCTGCCAGCGTACAGTTCGCAAAAGCTCACTGTGGTTCGCCTCCTGCTTTCGTGCATCTGTAGGAGCCCTATTGCTTCCACCACAGACTGCATTGATATTCGCAGAGACTCCCTGACCACTCTCTCTCTTATCAGCCACTGGTGGGCCCAGTGCTGCTACACCGACGGAATGCGAAGAAAAAGGCGTCCCCTCTCTTCGCCTACCGTAATCGACGACATCCGAGGAAGAAGGCGTCCCGTCTTCTCGTCTGCCGCCATCGGGTTTTTGGCGGAGCTAGCCCCGACCAGCTCCAGCCCTTCGTCAGTTGTCTCGGTGGATGCCCACTCACCACCGGCAGTATCCGAGTCGTAGCCCTTATGTGAGACTCGCGCCAACCGACTGTCATTACCAATGTCCGCTGATGCACCAGGGCGTGCCGTCATGCACTGTCGCTTCGCCGATGCACCCCAAGGACCTACCGACCTGCACTGCAAGTTCTCGCCCAGTCCGCATCTGTCTGCGTCCCCCAGGCAATCCCTTGGCCCAGCCGCCGGGATAAACGTGTGGTCAGTATCTCTCGTATCAACAATGTCGACAACTATATTGGAATGGGGTTTCCTCTGTGCCTGTACACTCAGAGCGTCAACCGAGCCTGTCTCCTTCAAAAATGAGCTCTTCATCAAAGAATGCGCATGTAGGGCGTCGTCTGCCGGTGCTGTGTCCTCTCGCCCGCCCTGAAGCGGAGGACTCATCCGTTTCCCAGCTGCGGGGGGTCAGGAGGAGGGAGCGCTCTAGCTTGAACAGTGTTTGACCCTGTTAGTGTCGCTCCTCGCATTTGCTCAGGGGAAGGTGTCCATCCCTTCGGTCGCTTTCTACATCGGGCCCACTTGTGTCCATAGATGCCGCAGTAGAGACATCTGCCTGGGAACTTTCCTGCCCACTTATTAGTCCTCTTGTCTGGGTCTTGTGTCGCTGCTCTCTCTTCTCTTCTGTGTCTGCCCGACGCATCGCGTTGTCCCTTCAGGTCAGCCACTTCCGCCTTGAGCTCATTAATGGATGCAGTGAGAGAGTCCCGGCTCTCCGTCTCTTTCTGCTTGTCGATGCCATCGGCAGGTGTCCCACCGACCGCACCGATCTCAAATCGTGCACGTTTCGACGATCTTGTCCTCTCGGCATCGCTCTCGCCATCGTCGTCACCGTGGCCATTGCCGCGCTTGCGTGTCCGCAACAGCCAGACCTCTGCACTCAATCCGAGCTCCTTCACGGCGCTGAATGTGTGGGGGTCGTCGTCTTTGCGGTATATTTCTTCTTTTAGTCTACGTAGCAGGCCATCGATGAATAACTCGACTGCCTCTCTTTCCGATTTGTGCGTGCGTGCCTTCTGGTAGATGTCGTTGAACTCATTGAACGCATCTTGAAACGATTGATCGGGCTTCTGCTTCCATGTCTTCATTTGCTCAGCTACGGCGATTGTCTGTGCCTGTTTCTGGCCAAACTCTCGAGCCAAGAAGTCCAAGAGCGTCTCCAGCTGTACGGCTTGGCTGTTGTCTCCCCATCCTGCCTGTGTGCTCATCCATCGAGTGACGCGAGTGCGTGCAGTGCCCCGTAAGGCGCTCATGATGAATGGAAGTATCTGGCCTCCTTTCAAATGGTACATGTTCTCAGCCGCCCTGACTTCATCAATGAATGCCTCCACAGTATGCTCTGCGCCTCCATCAAACGACTGGATGGACACCGATGGTTTCTGTAGGTCGTTTCGTGTCCAGGCATCTAGCTTCGACGGCAGCTCACTCAACTCTGCCTGCGACGGCGTCTGGCTTGGATGAGAACTGCTTGCTTGGTGTGTCAGTGCAGGTCCTTCATCTGGCAGCACCACGATGTCGGTGGTGTCCCCTCTGCGAGTGTATGTTGGTGAGACATCAGCGTCTCCTTCACGCCGTGCATTCGCCGCACGCCGTGTCTGTCTCTTCATGGCTTTCTTGCCACGCTTCAGCACCTGCAGCGCACGCTTTCGTGTCAATGCGCTCTCCGCCCGTGCGGGAGGTGCTGATTCCGTGCTCAGACCGCTTCGTGTCCTCGCCATGATAGTGTCTCAAGTGTCACTTCACGGACTTCTCCGAGTTGCTTCACGGCAGATGCACCAGAAAATGCTCGCCGCCTGTGTATGAGCTGTCTTTGAGACGAGCTGTGCCTAGTGGAGAACGAAATGTGAAGTGATTGTCCGTTGGTTGACGATTTGGAGACACGAAGAAGAGGCTTTCACTTGTAACACACAGAGGTCTGTCCACACGCTACACACACAGTGTCACGCACACGAACACGCACGCGATGTCAATCACAGTATCAGTGAGGCGCGTCGGCAGCCACGCAGAATTCGCATCGACTCTCTCTCTCTCGTCTTGAGAGTCGCCAGGGAAGGTCGACGTTTGGAACAACGGGAGTGCTGGAGGGGAAGCAGAAAGGTGAGAGGCAAGATCACTATCAGATCTCGCCCGGGATTACTGGGATGGCCACCAATCGTGATGAGAACAACAAGGAATGACTAGAATGATCACTGGAAGGGAAAACAAACGAAAGAACGCTCGTTTGTCGAAGATTGGCAAGTTTGACGCCGAAAATCTGCCGAGCTCGCTCGACCCCCCTAGGGTCAGGGTTTAAACCCTACATTGAGCGATGTGGAAATCCACATCGCCTTTCTGCGAGCTTAGACTGCTTCCGTTTCTCCCTACCCTAGCACTCGCGTGCATGTGGGAGGATGGCTCTGGAGAGCCGTGTCCTTCCACTTTTATGCCAAACGCACCAACGAGGGAAGCAACAGTGGCAGGAAGGCCGCGCACTGATGGATGGAACGACAACGGCGGCCCAGAGTCTTCCCTCCCTTCATCAGCGCAGCGGTATACATCACGACATGCGCACGGGAAACCCCTTTGTTCACTCGCATACACATCATTAACCTGTCATCTCATGCACCCTGCAACAGAAAGCTTAAAGTGTCTCTGTTTCGCTACGTGCACATGATGCAGGCTTGTGTCTGCAGTGAGTAGCTCGAGTTGCCGTCTTGTCTGCTTGTGTTTTGTATGTCTAAGTCTGGCGGAGCCTGGCAAGCAGGACATGGTGAGCGTTGCCATGTTCTCAAAGGCGTTCGTCACCTCGCCGACCAGCTTGAGAGCATGGTCTTTGCCATCCCAGGCTTCGACCAGCCTGGTACCAGTTTAATCCATGCCTTTCAGCATCGAGGACACGTCAGAGCACTTGTCTGTGTGTGTAACGCTGAAAGACACCACACAGACACAGACACAGACACAGACACAGACACAGACACAGACACAGACAGACACACACACACACACGCATCCAGATCTGCAGCGCACGGTTGTGTGGTTGTGTGGGCTTCATCTTCACCTATCTGACCGATATCCTGCGAACGCAATACGATAAATCATTGACAATCAGTGCAAAGATGACCGTACGTAATTGCTCTACACGTCTGTGGCCTACGCAGATGCAGGCGCAAGTCGAACGTGCGTTGACGATGCGAA